GGACAATCCATAATAACAGATGATAAAGTGTTAATCATATTTTTCATACTTTTTGTTGTCTCTATGTCAACAAAAAGTATGAAAAATATGATTAACAATCTACTATAGGATACTCTTCATGTGTGTGGAGTATTCCTAAAAAATGATTTGGTTCTCCACACTTTATATGTCCAAAAAGGTTTTAATTGTTGCTTCAGACCGTTTTCGACTATGCTACATCTAACTAGATTATTCAAAGCGAAAAAAATTTTTTTTTCCACAAAAGTGGTAGAAATCCTACGGATTCACCCTAAACTGATTCAGAATATGATCATAATCAATTCTTTGCTAAAATCATTTTGATCTACTCAGATTATAGAGCATGTTGAGATGTCTATAGAACAATAATCTTTTCTGTTTTTCCAAAAATGATTATTAAGTAAAATAATATCATATTTATGTCTCTTCGTAGTTAAAAACAAACGATGTGTCTTTGACCTGTGTTCGTCGATATTCGACAGTTGAAACAACACGATTATATGATCGAATTTTTTCTTATGTATACAATCTACGATCTTTCTATCACCATTGAAAAGATAGTGCTCTGTTCTACTGAGTTTTTCTACGCTTTCTTATAGAACTTTTCAATGAGAAAAACATTCAAAAATGTCTTTTGTATCTGCAAAATCTTTTAGATTTCAAATCTATTCCGAAATTAAAAAATTCTTTCGTGTAACTTGAGTCAGATACTGATTTGTATCTGTTGTATGAATAAAAATGACTGTATATTTTCTGCAAAAAGGAATAATTTGAAACAAAAAAATATTTCTTCGTCCGCGTGTTTTAATATAACATCATAAGGCGTAAAAACAGTCGTTTACAGTAGAATACGAAGCATGAACATCTGTTTATGATAACATTTTGATAATTTACGATGATCTCCAATGATTGATCTATAGATCCACAGATATTTTTAGCTATATCTTTCTAGATAGATCGAATAACGTTTATGCCAAGAACAAAGAAATCAGATTGAATAAATTTCTCTATATAATATTGTAAATACCTTAACCCTTTCTACTAAAAGTTATTCCCTACCTGAAAATAATAATCCTTCAAAGAACTTTTAGAATAATCTCTATCGCTTCATTCTCAAAGGAATACAAGCTTTATGTTCTTATAAGGCATATGCGATAGGATACATTTCGACTCGATTACTTTTTAATTACAATTAGTCAATAGTCTTGAAACGAACCATTTTTTCGTGGTTCGAACGTTATTTCGTTTACAAAGATTTTTTTGTTCATAGACTTTGGTAATTGTCCGTGCACTTGGTATTAAATAATTGGTGCTATTTTGAGCTTGATTAGCCTAGATTCTTGTCCCGTAGGATCGTCTTTTTTTCAGAAAATGGTATACTTTCTATGCATTCACTCCTTAATTAAAGTAGAAGAATTAGATAAAGCGTTATTTACAGCTCTTGCTCTCAACAACGGTTTATTTTCGACACAGTTTTTCTGTCAATCATTGCATCACATTAATTAGTGCAGTTTGTGCACTGCAGAACATTGCATGTGGACGAGAGACACGACAGGTTTAATTAATTGCTATGATTTATCATATTAATCAGGCCTGAAACTTACATACTTTTTCTATCGTAAAACACAGTCGACGTTACTGACTGTTTACGAAGAAATACGATAGTAAACGATGATCATTTGAATAATATTTTACAGTTGATGTATGCCGTATCTTATAAGGGCGGCAGAGCCCATTATGTTTGGGTAGGGTGTGGATGTGGGTATTGTGTAAGTGAATATATCCATACCCACACCGATAGTACGCTTTCACGATTGCACCCTTGCGTCCTTTCAAACGTAAAGATTCAATATGTCAGTAGTAAAAATGAAGGACAGCCTGAATTCGGCTTCGACGTTCGTTAGAAATCGGACATTTCAAATAAATGTTTTTTTTGAAAATTTCATAAAAATATTTATTTCTCAAAATGTTAAATGAATTACTATTTCGATTCTGTTTTCGTATTCAATGGGTGCTATTTATTTACTTGTATTCGATTTAACGTTTGGTTCATTCAAAGAAGCATTTTGGCTTTGATGGACAGTATGTTAAATTTCTCAAGAAAAAACCTAATTTGAATTTCTTTATTTTGTAGTTTCCGATAATATCTTATGTTTTTACAATGATTTATTTATTTGCTGATTATCTAGGTTGTAAGTTTTGTTATTGAACGTGAGTTCGAAGTTTGTTTTAAATGATCAAAGAAACGAGAAGAAAGAGTGACAACATTGACCACATAACAATTAACTCCTCGAATTATGTATATACAATATATATTTATATGTATAGCGAAGAATATATCACGCATTATAAAATACGCAATAGAAAAGACTACTATGTAGTAGTAATAGAGAAAACATCAAGGTCAATATCAATGTTTCTTTGATCTTAAGAAAACAGAAACGAATATTGAGTAGTTAGATGAAAGGAAACGAAAGAACGAAAGTAAACACACATAATAGAAAAGAGAACAAAGCACAAACAAATACATATTGTTCTTAAGGAATAATAAATCTTTAACATGGGTGTCAATTGTGTGCTTAATCTAGTCTGACGTTCTGGTGCATTGACAGCTGTAACCGGTGTGTTCGCTCCAAAAAGAATAAACATTATTTTTCTAAAAATGTAGTTTGTTTACTTTTAGTTACAACATTTTGCAAGACGATTACAATAATTCTATCCTTTATTGCTTTTACTAAACCATTTACTTTCCAGTAAGACTTAATGATTTCTATTTTTTTTTTTGTTTTGATAAATTAATTTAAGTTGAGATATTTATGGTCTGGTGTTATTGTTGTATTTGGTATTTATTTAAATGCTCATGGTCAAAATAAAAAATCAATTGAAACTTATACACGTTTTATTGATAATCATTCATTAATGCAATTTCGAAGACAGAGTAGCAATTATTGATATTCACCTGAAGAAGTTTAATTTATTTTATTTTATTGTTTTTAAGTGATAATAAAAATGCTATAGACTAATAAATACATGTTCGTATTGTGATTATTAAGAATATAAATACTATTAAAGTGTTCATTTGCTTCTTATCTAATATCAAACGACAATGTTGTCAAGAATGAAGATACTCATTGAATAGGAAATATTTCTCAATCATATACAGGGTGGGTCATAAATAACGTCCCGATAAGAAGTTTAAATATCTCCGTCAGATGTCGACCAAATGAGCTGAAACTTTTACCAGTAATAGAGGCATATTCAAAGTTTATATCCATAAAGACATGCCTGAAGAGATCCTTTGTTAAGTATCACTATTGACTTCAACATAAACATTTTAATTTTTCACAGATAGGAAAAAACAATGTACTTAACAAAGGATCTCTCCAGACATGTCTTTATGGATATGAACTTTGAATATGCTTCT